GTTTTCAGTTCCATTGCTTTCCATTCCTGAAGTTGACGGAACAGAAAAGTGTCCGAACATCACATCTAAAGACTGACATTTTCTGGATATTTCACTTCTTTTTTTCCTTTCACTTTCCAGTTTTCTTTCTTGCCCTCCTTTTCGTTTTTGTGGCATAATTTTGCAGTAGGTATATTATTCGCTTTTTTGCTTCGCTACTTTTAGTTTTCACGTTCACCCCAAAGAATTTGAATGATTTCACAGGTTAGCTAGCCTTGATGACCTGTTGGCAATGGCAATAATTAATATGTGTTCTTTAAGACTTTAAGGACAGGTACACAGTACAATCAAAAACCAAAAAATACATTAAATGAAATAAATACCTTATATCGTAATAATAATTAAGATCTTTAACATTATTAATACGTACCTACCCAACAATTGATTAAATTTGTCGGGAAGCAGGATTCCCACTCGCACCCCGTCGCGGCGTCGCCAGTCAGAATCTCTTAAAACAATGACTAATCGTTGTTGACGCAACATTAACCATTTAATTTTTCTAATAATTTTTAATTTATTTCATTGCGGATAAATTTTCCTTTATTCAAAATTCTATTACTTATCTTAAACACACGAGTGTTTTATCTACAAACCTGCGCCGACGAAAAGTGCAGGCCAGTTGTTGGCGTTTTCGAATGCAGACACATAAACGTACCTACTACAATTTACCGAAGGTTTTCTATGTGAAGTGGCTAGTGCCGGGTACTACTACTATATAAGCTGATAAAGGGGATCCCCGCACCTACAAACATCCGGCTCGAGGTAAGTGAATGAGCATTGGTGTGTACTTATATTGTTTGCGTAATTTTTCTTAATACAGTCCGCTAAAAAAATAACAATTTTTTTCACTCCTGTTGCGTGGACAATCGTAATCACGCACAACTCACAAGTACATACTGGCTACTTTCAGGAACAGTGCAACTTGAACTAGCCAAACAAGCGTTTCCATGAAATAGAGCAGTGAGCAGACGCAATCGCCAGTCATCGTACGGATACGGTACAAGTTACGCTTATGACCGTCACCGTACCACGCCTCGCGCTGAGAATCACAGTTCAGTCGACAGAGAGTCAGTCATTCCTGTGACCTAAATCGAGAAAAATCTTCCGTACTTTATTTACTTATTTTCTATGTCTCTTCCAATCTTGAACGACTAAGTATACATACAACTATACATTTATAACAGTTGGTTACGACGGGCCACCGGGAAATTTCCCGGTATCCCGGTGGGCCCATCCGCCCCTGTTTGTATGGAAATGCATCTAAAAGTAATCTTAAATAATTGATATTGTTCAAAATAAAGCCCTTCGGCAAGATATAGGAGCAATGAGAACTACACCTATTATCCACTGCAAATTCAAGCACGAGAACCTCACCTCCATTTACGGCGTCAATTTCTTGCGGTTAAGTATGTTACCAAAATAATAACAATAAACTCTAAAACCATTTTAGACACAATACATGATCTTTCGCTATTAAATCTAAGCGACAGATATTGGGAAAAAAAGAGTTCACCACCTTTGGCGGAGTCATACTTATTTAGCCAATCATATCATGATAATGTGTTCACACACGCCGCTCTAGCAGACATGAATTACGATAAGTACGCTAAAGGTTCCGAAGTGGCATTCCCCCCGTATAGGGCCACATGGAAGAGCAGTGTATATCGCACTGAATGTGGTCCTTTTTCCAATGTACTTTTTCTTTTTGTTCTATATGATGTTCATTGGAAATAAACATTATTATTATTAGTATGGTCGGTGTATCTTGTGAGTACTCATGTCTAGCCTGGTTAACTAATCGCACGGATTAAAATCAAGTAACGATTAGTGTAATTATTATTATTATTATGGACAACCGCAACATGATCGAGTATTGTTTCAATCAGTACCATCACAACTCCAAGGCCAAACTATTATTGTCACCGATGGATCCAAAAGCAGTATGGGATGTGGGTGCGCAATTCTCAATATTGGTACAAGTCAAAATCAGGAGTTCCGGCTAAACACCCTTGCACAGAATAAGACCTTCACAGAACAGAAACATAAATGGCGCTAAATTGTCACTGATTACAGCGTTTCCCGTGGTTGTACGGGGAACTATTTATCGCAGACTCAAATATTTTTTTGCAAAACCTGTAATGTTTCTCGTTACAGGAAATATTTTTACCGTCGATTTTATACGTACACAGGTTTTACACATGTCAATTTTGACTTTTGAAAGATTTAAAATATGAACAAGTTATGTGACCGTAAAAGTGTTGTGTGGCGGATTGTAACAATAAAATATCAAAAAGACATCTTTTCCCACATTTTGAAACAGATTGTTTTGTGCTTGAAACGCGAAGAGGGTTGAAATGTGCTGTTATTTCTTTCCTATTTATGCGAGGTAAGTAACAGGTACAAATTGATGCAGAATTATTACCAACTGTACCTATAGGCGCAAAAGGGTGTAGACTTGAGTTTTATATTTATATAGATGTAGATACTTATATTGTAATTCGTTTTAGATAATTCAACAACTTCCACCCTCGCTTCTCAAGTAACCAGTAAGCACCAGGATCAAGTTAACATTTGTTGTCAAAAACTTGTGTGACAATTTGCTGAAACGGTTTTATCACCTCTTGGAACAAAAAAATTAGTTCTAAAGATATTTTGTAACAAAAATATGTAGTCCAAACAGCAATTAAAACCAAATATTTCGTAGGACAACTCGTTACGTAAGGATCTTTTTGCAAAGTGTTAACTTCTACAAAGCGTAAGTTGCACTTACTTCTGAGTTTTATATGTAATTTGTAAACATGTAATTTAAGATGTCTGTGTTAAATAATGTAATGTGATTGTATCTAAATACACTTGCAATTTAACAACTGTGTATTCTTTATCTATATTTGTGATTTAGATCGAATTGGGGAAATTACTTCATGGATTTAGAAGCTGGTCACCAGATGGCGCTACTCTGATTTTTGATGCTTTAGTTCACAGTACACCCACCAGGGTTCGCCAAAATACCATACAAATTTGTAACATTGCTGTTTCTATTCTGAGAAGGCCGTATTCTGTGCACCCTTGCGTCAATATTCACGGCGGAAGCATACGCGATTTGCAAGGCAGTACAAACAATCAAAAACACCCAACAGGAGCCTGTGGCGATTATGTCCGATAGTTTAAGCGTTCTCCGTCTGTGTCAGTCCTAAAGCGTATCGTTATTTAAGAAATGTGAGAAAATATCCTTTAACATCGTTATCAACGTTACGTCGATGGGCATCCAGTCTTAAGCTAAAACCTGGAATCCAAGAAGAAATATTAGTGCATATTCATAAAGTAAAGGGTTGGGCGTTGAAGTAAAAGGTTTTGGTCTAAAGTAAAGTTTTGCTTTTTTGATATCCATAAAAGGAAGGAAATGCTTTCAAACTGAAGGATTTGCTTCAAGAAAAATGCATCTAGTCCAGATTAGCTTTTGCCATAAGAGGTGCAGTCGTTTGATCGGCGTTTAAGGTGTTTGCGTGAAATTTTGTGATTTTTTCGGTAGCTATATGTGTGTGTAGTGTTTGTCTGTTATGGCTCACGTAGTCCAGCTTCGTGCCAGAAAACTTTATAAGCCAAGGAGGACGCCACGACAATCTGACTTTAAAACGTTATTCCGGTTTGAAGAGGTTAGCGTTGAGTGGTTGGCGGAGCATTTTCTTGGAGAGAATAATGAAACTCGTGGAGGCGCACTATCTCCCGTGCAAAAAATTAAAATGTTTCTTCGTTATATGGCTGATCCCGGGTTCCAGAGCGGTATTGGAGAAGAACTGGGATGTTCGCAGCCAACGGTATCCAGAATTATTAATATCACCCTCGAATGTATAATGGAAAAAGCCAACGAATGGATACAGTTTCCCTCTACAGAAAACAGAATCATGCAGGCAAAAGAAAACTGGCTAAGAAAATTTCATTTTCCAACTACAATTGGTGCAATAGACTGCACCCATGTTCAAACTGAGAAGCCTACCACATTTAGAGATGAATATGTTAATCGGAAAGAATACACTAGCATCAAAGTACAGGCCACATGTGACTGCAACGCTATATTCACCAGTATTGATGCAAGTTGGCCAGGGTCTGTCCACGATGCACGCATATGGAAGAATTCTACAGTACGAGAAATCATGCGACGAACGACAAATGCTGTGCTGCTAGGTGATAGTGGTTATGAAATAATGCCGTGCCTGATGACGCCCTTCAAGAATCCTAACGGTGAAGCGCAAGTAGCCTTTAATAGATTGTTAAAGAAGGAACGAGTTATAATTGAACATGCTTTTGGACAACTCAAACGACGATACCCCATTCTGAAATATGTGTGTAGGGTAAAAAGTGATAGTTGCGTGCGCTGTGTTACACAATATAGCCAAGTTCCTAGGAGATGCAGATTTTGATGGTGCAAATGAAGAGGAAGAGGAATTGCCACACATACATGAAGATGCCGATAATATTATTCGTGCTCAAGGACAGGAGAGACGTTCCCAACTGGCGCAGCTCATTCACAACAATAACATAGATTGTATATTTATAATGATACATACGGTACAAAAATAAAGCTAATTCTACAATTTGCAGGAGCCTGAAAGGGGACGAACAGTCTTTCTGGATTAAATAAGGAACATCAATGTGCTACATCTGTGGCGCCGTACCTATAAAAGTTAAATTTGTTTTATTGAAATATATATTTATGAACATCTACCTGTGTATGTTTAGATTACTGAAGATTCGCAAAAGTTTGGTCTCCATCTTGAAAATATGAAACTGGCGTTGTAAGGCGTGAAGAACTAGCAGCCTTGTCTTCTAACTTTGCTGTAAAATACTCCTGTTGAAGACGGGTAGCTTTCAGCTGCTCTAGCAGAACAAGTCGAGCTGAGAGCTGAGAAGTAGTCAGGGTTCTTGTCTCTTCCGATTCCTCGAGTATCTTGTCGACTGTACTACTACCTTTGGCCGCCACTTTCTTTGTGTCGTATGGGTGCTGCTTCAGCAACTCGTTTCCGCACATCTAGTAGCTTAGGTGTAATCGACCGACTTTTGCTTTCCACTACATCTAAGGGTGGCGATGGTACAACAGACGAACCTGGTTGGGAGGTATTCACAGATTGTGGCGTAACTCCAATTTGAAGATCACCTGTAAGTATACAAGAACATAACTTTAGTATTTACATTACAGCTACAGCATACCATAGGACCATAGTTTTTCTTACCTGAAATACGACTGACGACCGGATTTTTATCTCCCTGCATGGTCTCGAGCATAATATTTTCCCACGGAAGTAAGCGTATCGGTCTATTGCCCGTTTGGTTCCTGTCAGTTTTTTTCTTCAATCTGGTCTTCATGTTGTTTACCTTCTTCATGAAATCTTTTTCAGTAATCGCTTTGCCGAACATCGCCTTATAGTCCTGTATAATTCCTTCTAAAGCTCGTTTCTTCTTCAACTTCATTGTGGGAACTTGTGATTTTTCTAAAATCTCTGGGTACATCTTCACCTTTTCGGCAATAAAGTGCATTTCATCATTATTTTGGCTCTCGTCGGGGATATCCACTGCATCAGAATCTGACATTTTGCATACACGTATATTCGATGAAACGGTTGTCTGAACTATGAATAAATTTAAACACACTAAAATTGCTTTTTCAAAACTGCAGCACATGCACAATTCGCAAGTTGTAACCGGTTGTAACGAATTGAAAACGCCTATAATTAGACTTTATTTACTTTGTTAACGAAATACGACTCTCAGTCTACCTTTTGCTTCTATTATTTGGAAGGATTTGCTTGGTAGGAAAAGGCACAGCTTATAAATACGAAATGAAGCAAAACCTTTTACTTCTATCTTTTACTTCCGAGCGCTACCTTTTACTTCTACCTTTTACTTTAAAGCAAATGCTTCACTTTTATAAATATGGACTATGTATATTAAAACATAAGGCAAAGAACTCAGTGTGAATGACAGAATATGTGTTGTAATATTTGATTAGATGTATTTGATGGGGAAAGTTTGCTTTGATAAACGAAATGAGCTAATAATTGGTCCACATAAAACCGTTCAGGTGGTCATGATTCGCGGACTTTTTGCAAGTTGGAAGCAAGTTGTTTACTTTGATTTTGAGAGACTCTTTTTAATTTAATTACAAAATCAGTTAACTACACTGTTGTAGCAGTGTGCTGTGATTTAGGTCCATCCAATCAAGCTTTATGGAGGGACCTTAAAATAGGATGTCATGACTCAAATTTCAACAACTACATTCAGCACCCAAGCAAAATCTCATGGAATATCTATTTCTTTGCAGATGTTCCACATTTGCTAAAGTTAAGCAGAAACCATTTTTTGGATAGTGGCTTTTCTATATTTAATAAAACAATTAATAAGAGTTGCCTTCAAAGAATCTTAGATCTACACGAAGGAGAATTTAAACTGGTTCCAAAGTTAACTTAACATTTGCTAGTTGCAGGCACTCAACGCCAAAAAGTGAAACCGGCAGCATAGTGTTTCTCAGACACTGTTGCTTCTGCCATTGGGTGGTGTGGGGAAAGGCAACATATGAAAGAAATGGAGTGGGAATGTTGTGCAGATATAATTGATTTATTTAATAATTGGTTCGATGTTTTTAATGTGCAACATAAATTTGATTCAAAATGCCATGCATATTGGCAATTGACTTGGAAAAACAAAACAAAATAATCTTTAACATGAACGACATAATTAAAAATATAAGAGTAGGAAAACATACTAAGCTGTTGCCATTTCAACACGGAATTTTGGTGAATAATAAATCTGTGCATGAGCTACTCGTTCATTTACGTGAAAAATGTGGTACTGAATATATCCTCACCAACCGATTATGTCAAGATGCTATTGAAAACTTCTTTTCATATATTCGAGCACTGGGTAAAACAAATGACCATCCAACTCCGCTTGACTTTATATACCGCTTGAGATGGTATGTGCTTAGGAAGCATTCATCGGCTGTATTTTCTTCAGAAAGTAAAAACATTACTGATGATGACCATGATACGGGATTTGTTAACTTCAAAGATTGCAGTAGTTTATCAGCGGAGGCACTAAAAGATTTAAAAGCAGAACAAAATGTATTAGAACCTGCGGAAGAGGAAGAAGTTATATTAAATATAGAAAACTTTGAAGATTATGAAAGGTTATTAGAAGAGCTTGAAATGAGCAAAGAAAATTTAGAAATAGCAAATGAAATACAGGATGACGGTTTAAAATATATTGCGGGTTATGTGGCGTTTAAATTTAAGCATAAATATAAATTATTTACCAACGAAGAGATGTCAGTTTCATCAGATTTGCCAAGTTGGATCAATTATGTATCAAAAGACAAATTATACCACCCGAGTGCAGACTTAGTTCAACTAGGAAAAAGCATTCGACAAGAATTTCTGGTAGAACTTTTTGTAAACATCTACTATCTCCTGAAGACGTAATCACCGCATTGATTTAAGTGTTCACTTATGTAAGAATAAGAGACGTTAATAATAGCCTCAGTTTATATAATTTGAGAAAAAAGAAGAAAATACACACCTACTTATTGCCGACTGCAATTTTCAATGTTAAAAGTTTTTTTTAAATTATGTTGTTATATTTCATTTATTTCATGTATTTGTGTGGGCTATGCCGGGGTTTTGTCCCGAAGAAGGTTTCCCTGGTATCGCCTTGTTGTGTGCGTAATATATTTATCTGTTCTTGTCTTTTCTTACGCACAAAATTCTGCGTTTTATTCAATCCCCTTCTTGATTATATCATTCATTTGTGCCATCCATATCGAGCCGACTGCTACCGAGATTCAAAAGTTCCGCGAAACGTCCGTCGTAACTCATTTGGTTACAGATATTTGCCACCCCCGTAACCGCTTCACTCACGGAGAAAAATCTTATACTAAGTTTTGTTTCAATACAAGAAATAAAGCTGTTTAAAATGTATCCCATTTAGTATTTTTATTTGGAGCAACGTTGTCAGCCACTTTTTATATACTCAACATACACGTTATGCAGTGCATCATTTTTATAGAAAACGAATAGGGAAGGTTCTAACCCTGTATGTAGTGTATTACCCTTGTCAGAAATAATATATTTCCCCCACGGTGTCTCACCATCATTTAATTCCATTTCAAAAAAATTCATGGAAACACCCATGGTAAATAGTCAGAAATGACCGATCGCGCAAAAATAATTTAACTATGTTAGTATAGTCGTTTCTAAGCTCTTTAAAACTGTGTTCTCTGACCTCTGTATACCTACCTATACAATATAGGTACATACCTGATTTTTCGCGGCCTACCAGTCTTGTCTGAAGTCGCCCTGATCGGCCCGGGGCGTATAAAGTACAAATTCTTCTTGTCCTGAGTTTTGCTAAACGTAGGGTTAATGGGCATTGAACCCGAGCCCTTATAAAAAAAACTGAAGTAAGCGCGAGTAACAAACATTTACGCCAAGTCGCCATATGCAGACGTCCGCGCTAGCATCACTGTTACGTATAAGAATATCATGGTACTTTTACGTGCAAATCATGTTATTTAGTTGGTGTTAAACCAACCTAACAAACCTAAAAACCTTTATAAATCGTGTTATATTAAACCGACAATTCACATGGCGCCTTAAACGCATTTTACACGTCTGCGTAAAAAACGTAAAAAAACACGTTCTCTAAAGAATCGTAAGAAATAGCCCGCTATATTCACGTAATAAAAACGTTGTCCGATACACGAAAAGTGTCCTCAACGGAAAAAAAAGTTTTTAACCACTTTCGTACGTAAACACGAGTGTGTGCTACTTTGGTGTCGTGGTAATGACAGGTCTATCTTTGCGAAGAATGTCGATTTGAATTGGAAAATTCCAGTCATCACGCTAAAATTGTTTAATTATCTAAGCGTCTTTACGCGAATGGGCCGGGGCTATATTCCTCCTGAGGCAAAGTTATTTTTATATAATTGCTGTTTGTTAGCACGTTTCTTGGTAGGTTATGCAATATGTGTTAATTTAATTACCTATCTTTGTTTTATCTATCTCGTAATCTGGAACCCATTTATTAATGGGTTACGTAGTTCGAATTAAATAGATTCAGATCTAATTTTTCACATTGTAGTTTTTGGATATATTTTTCTTTGTACGTTACGTGGAATTGGGTTGATTGTATTAAAGAAGTGCCGTGTTCTGCATGAAATACAAACACTCGCTTTCGTATTGAAGAATGCTAACTGTCGACTAGCTGGAACTGATCTATTACATTGTATCTAAAATGGAAGGACCGCTACCCAAATGTTTATGGCAAATACCAAAAATTGCAAACTTTCGTGTATGTAACTGTTTTAGTCGTTAGTTTATCCGTTTATCTTTTGCCGTTTATCTTTACCAATGTCGTGACGAATAGCTCTGAATAGAAAGTTATGGTTGTTTACTACTTTACATTTATCTTTTGCCTTTGTCGTTTTAGTATTGACGCAAAGTAATTCATTTAATTAATGTACATATTTGTCTGTCTGTGAATGAGCTTTGACCTCGGTGGTTGTTTCACCCGAAGATCCGTTTCCCCTGGCTGGCCGTGGCCAATTTTCTTTTCCTTCTCGAGGTTCGCTGCACAAATCAGTATTGTTGATTTTGGAAGAGTTTTTGAAATTCAAGTCAACGGAGTAGGCACAGGAGGTACAGTCAAATGTCAAAAATTTTGAAAAATCCTGAATAACTTGAAAACCTTTGTTGCTGGGTATAAAGAAGTGCGGTATCAAACTACGTCATCTAGATTTCGAAAATGCAATAAAATACAGGGTGTTCTATTTAAAATTAGAAAGTTGCTATCCACATCGGATACAACCGGAAGTGTAATGATCATGGTAATATTTTCTTTCGATAGATCATGAAAAACTATGTCGGTACGCAAACTTTCAGATTTAAATTATCAATCACAGCCTAAATACTGTTAGGTAAAGGTTTGCGTGAAACAGCCTGTATACGCGAATAATACGATCTATGTCGAAACCGAGGCTATCTTATGTGATCGTAGAAAAGTAATAGGTACAAAATACTGATATTCTGTCACGCATTTTTCTCAGAAAATGCGCGAATAAACTTGATACCAAAGTCAAGTTTGACCGAAAACATATTCGAATTCTTTTTATATGACGTTTGAAAGTATCAATTTGTTTCAGATCCCGTCGGCACCTGAATCATCGTGGGTGAGTTTAATCTTATTTATGTAAATTTTCCAAAAATGGCTCTTGATGTAAGGGCGGCATTGTTACATACATTTGTAACCGTTTTTATGTTCTTTACAATTAAACAGGAAAATGTAACCTTTAGTAACGTAAAACAATAGATTCCACGTGTACCGGGTTTTATACCTACCCAATTAAAATTTCTATTAAACATGGCTCCACAAAAAATAGAATAATGTTTAATTAAATTTTCCATTATTACCCAACTCTTTTAGTTAGTTAATATAACGAACGTAATGATTAACAAACGACGCCTCTAAAATCTAGTGATGATATATTAATATTCATAAAGGTTGTTATTTATTATGAAACCACTGCACTGCAAGTTGCGATGATTGAATAAATATGTAAATTGACGTCTAATAAAAGAACTTTGTAGAGAATATACAGGATTAACAAACATTCTTCAAATATATGTTTCGTTTCGGAGCGACGTCTCTAAAAATACAAAAATTTACCTTTGTTCTCTAATTTTCTTCTCAGGACGTATACCTGAAATAAAACATTGCTACGGTGAAGACACTGATAGAAATACGCGAATATTCTAGGAATTCTGATAGACATCGAAGCGCCACGGAAAATTAGTCGTCAGCGATAAGAAATTAAGGCGGATCTGACGCATTCTTTCCGGGTAATATGACGCGTTTGTTCAAGAACATTCGAAAGCGTTCAAGACCACTCTAAACCATTCTAGAAAGATTGTTTGCTATTATACGCAAATCGAATTGAATCACTGAGTTCAGAAACACCTTAAGTCACGTTTTTACCATATCTGAGGTACGTATTGAGTAATGTATGAGAGACCTAGATCCATCGATTGGACGCAGAAACAACCTTATTCGCATACGTTAAGCGTACAAAACACCGTCTAGAAATATTGACTGAGTGCAGAATCAACCTTAGTCCAGGACTTGGGTGGTTTATGCACTCGTTTGTCAGAAAATAAAGTTTCTACATTTCGCCACCAGAGTGCTATTTTTGCGTGGCGCAAAACAATTGTTACTTGAGTGTTGAAGGGCAAGTGTACTGAGTAAGTGCTTGAAAAAAGTAAGTAGCAACTTTACTGCTCAAATTCTGTTTTTAAACATAATTTATTCAAAGTGATGGGTGATCTTGAAGAAATCACCGGCCAATCAAACTCGAAAAAACGGTAAGGAACGATGAGTCCTATAAACGAAATAAAATCAAGCAAGCTCGTGTCAAAGGCGAAGCCTATATGAACTACAAGAACGTGTTAGTTCCTGCAAAACAGCAAGCTGCCTGTCAATGCAAAAACAAATGCACTGAAAAACTGGTCGATGTCGAAAAAGAAGAGATTTTTCGGAACTTCCGTCAAATTTCAACCAAAAATGAACAAGATGTGTTTCTTCAAGGTGTAATACTTTGCACTGAAGTTAAACGTAGACGTCCACGTAAAGAAGGAGCAAAAAATAGGACCAACTCTTTTTCTTACAACGTTCTAGTTGGTAGTGGTAGAAGGGAGGTTTGCAGGAATGCGTTTGTGGGTTTGTATGGAGTATCAGATGAACGTGTGAAAAGACTAAGGACATTATTGCAAGCAGGACGGACACCCGAAGATATGAGGAGGAAACAAAGAAGTGGCAATGCTTTAAATCCTTCAGAAACTATTTCAGTTATGGAACATATCTCTTCTTTCCCGGTTAAACAGACTACGGCAATTAAAATGTGGATGGATGGTGGTAACATAAGCAATTTTAAAATGTGGATGGATGGTGGTAACATAAGCAATAATTGCTTATGTTATCACCATCCATCCACATTTTAATATATTTT